AAAATTGCAACGCGAAACTAAATTCGCGTTGCGATTTTCATTTTCGCATTGCGATTCTCTCGTTGCGATTTTCATTTCGCATTGCGATTATCTCGTTGCGATAGTCATTTCCGCGTTGCGATAGTCAATTCCGCGTTGCGATAGTCATTTCCGTGTTGCGATAGTCATATTCGCGTTGCGATTTCCGCGTTGCGATAGTCAAATGAATGTCTAATAAGTGATAACAACTGAACATATCATAGCAATGTTCAAACTCAAGTTACTAATACATGCCTAACTGAAAATGTTAAAAGTTCACACATAATATACACATAATACAACGTTTGCATTTAAAAATCACCTAAGTTAACAGTCCCAAAAGGTGAAGCCGGTTGTGATTGGGATTTTGATGAAGATCCATATTTTGGTAGAAGAAAAGATGATTGTGATGGCACTGGTGATCCACATGTCAACCTTGTATGACCACTTTCCTTGCACCGACTACATGTCAATCTCTTCTTCTCTTCACCCTTAGACAGTATACGATCGTGACTTTTTGGTCGGCCAGGTAGCCTTCTGTCCATGGTTGGTGGCAAAACTGTTTGTAAGTCATCGCAACGTGGAAATGTTGTGGGTTTTGAGATTGTGTTTGGTATTGGAAATGTGGTGAAACAATATTTGCTTGGTGATAAAATTGTGGTGGAACCATTAAATTTTGAGCACCATAAACTGGAGTTGAAAAACTTAGTTGATTACTACCCGCTACTGACCCAACTTCACTACTTCTAGGTTCAACAAACATACAATGTAACATCATCACTTGAAACACTAATGTAATGTAACATCCCAAACTAGGGGTTAGTGGCTAAATTGTAAAGTTTAAGAATTTGATGAATTAAGTAGAAGAATGGAATAATTCGATGATTTATTTGGTAATAATTCCTAAAAGTTGTTAGTAATTATTAAAGTAGATGAAGGGCAAAATGGTCATTGAACAAAGATAATATTAAATATTAATAAATGGGTATTATAATATATGAGAGGTATGATTGAAGAGATAAGTTTTAGACTTATCTTCTTCATCTTCATATTCTCTCAAACGTGAAGAGCCAGCTTACAAAGGTGAGTTTCTTTGTTAGTTGGTTATTTTGCTAAATTTATGGTTGGGTTTTGATCATTAGATAATAACTAAGCTTAAGGAAAGCTTAGGTTATCTTAAGATTGAAAGATAAAGAAGTTATGAAAGATTAAAGAAAATGGGTTTGTAAAGGAAATTTTGGAAAAGAGTTAATAAGAGATTTTTAAGATGGAATTTGACTTGTCATCAAGAAGAATAAGAGATTTATGAAGTTAGAAAAGATTTATAACAAATTTGAAAGTTTAGTAAGATTCTTAATTTTAAGAATCTTGATGAAATATAGAAGATAAATATGATTTATATGGACATAAGTTGGTTTCAATAATGATAGTTGAGTTTAAAGTCATAATAGGGGATTAAAATATAAGAATTGAATGAAGAATTGATGAATTTCGGGCTTGAAATGCAATTTCTGGACAAGGTGCATCGATGCACATTCATAAGTGCATCGATGCATTCCTTTAAAAGAAAGAACATCGAATGCCTTTGATGCATCGATGCATAGCTAATGCATCGATGCATCCTTTTAAAATAAAAACATCGAATGCATTTTATGCACCGATGCACAAGTAGTGCATCGATGCATACCTTCATTGAAAGAGGAAATTGGCTTTTCTCTTAGCTTAAGAAGTGACAGTTTAGAATATATCAATTGGAATATTGATATGAATCTGTGTATTGTTATGTAGAGATAGAAAGTGATCCGTTTCAGGACAATTGAGGAATTAGAATCGAATCAAAGCAAAGCTAAGGTGAGTGCAATTTATTTGTACTTATTTTATTGAATTAACATTGGCTTGTGATGAGCCAGTGATGGAGTTACTATGGTAAGAAGTAACTTCTAAATTGTTATGTGATTACCATGTATGCATTAATACATAGAAATAGATGGATGCTATGTTATATGAATTATATGCTTAAGTGAAAATGCAACATATGATATATATGTTATTTGACATGACATGCATGGTTACATGAAAGAAAGCTATGTGACTACATGTATATGAGAAAGAAGCTATAAGCTTATATGCACATGTGATATATGTGATATGAATTATATGAAATGATTTACATGAATACATGTATATATATATAATACATGTGGTATGATATGAGATATATGGTTACACATACATGTGGTATGTGACAGAAGAGAAAGAACAAGTGATACGAAATGTATAAATAAATGCCCATAGTATATGATACGAGAGCTATAGGTATAGTTGGCATGCCAAGAGTCGAGGGTTTTACCTATGTCTTTCGAGACATATGGACAGTATACCTATGTTCTAAGGAACATATGGACAGTTTACCTAGGTTCTTTGGGACCTATGGACAGTTGCCGAGGTTCTTTATGACCTCTGGATAGTTACCGGGGTCTGTGTGACCTCTGGATAGGTCCTTCGGGGGATATTTATACGAGCTGTGGTGACAGCATTAGTGCACAACCTCAATGTACTCACATACCTCTATTCTCAATAATATACATGGGCAATGAAATTGAAAGACAAATGAAAGTGAAAGTGATAAAAGAAGGTAAGTTGCATGTGTGCATGACCTGATTGTATATTGTTATCATACCATAGATTCATGCATATTGATATGTAGTGATTCAATGATATGAATGCACATACATGAATTATATGTGTTATATGATGAGTATATGGTAAGTGGAAAGGATTATTGATAGTGTTTGTATATGTATGTCTTTTATTTATATGAAATCATATATGGTTATATTATATGTTTTATATGCCTCACTAAGTCTATGACTTAGCGTGTAAGTGATTTACACGTAGGTACCAAGAACGAGAAGTGAAAGAATAGAAGTGGCAAAGACAGTATCACTACTAAAAGATCAGATCAGAAGTATTTGACAAAGTATGTATTTGGTTATGTATAAAGTGTTGGCATGTAATAAGTCATTAAGTACGAGCACTCTGATCAAGTCTGTATTTTGTTTTAAATAAAGTTTTAAATTTCCCGGGATTTTTCTTAAGAGTCAAGATTTGAAAAGTCAATGTGACACGTCGGACTCGTATCCGGGTCGGGTACGGGTTGGGGGTGTTACATGTAAGCAATGAATCATTCAAACATCTACATTGTCGGTTAACAAATAAACTTTACCATTTCTCTGATAAGATAGCCTAAATCCACTTAGGGGCTCTAAATTCAATTTATTTGCAACACGTAACATTAGAGTTTCATAAGTCAACTTTTTTAATGACAGTTTTAGTTGAAGATTCATGGGTAAAGGCATATATTGTAAAACACCATGAACATTCTCCCATGACCCTCCAAAACACAAATATATCCAAACATGATCAACATTAGATGATTTCATTATTGTAAATTAATTTACTAAACAAACGAGCTGCGAAACTAAAACCTGTTGTCGGATGGGGAAGGATGTCGTTGGATATAGGAACGGATGTCGCCGGAGAGAGTGATAGATGGAGATGAAATGAGTTACGATTTAGGGATTTAGGTTATGAGTTGCTGCTGCTGCGTAGTTATATACCCAAAACATTTGTGTTGCAAAACTAAAACCTGTTGCGAATTCAGAAATCGAGTTGCGAATTTGAAATTCAGTATTGCGATAGTCAGAATCACGTTGCGATAGTCAAAATCTCGTTGCGATAGTCAGAATCTCGTTGCGATAGTCAGATTCGCATTGCGATTTACATATTCGCATTGCGATTTACGTATTCGCATTGCGATTTACGTATTCGTATTGCAATTTACGTATTCACATTGCGAATTAGGAAAATCGCAACGCGAATTTGGAAAATCGCAATGCGATAGTCAGAATCGCATTGCGAATCTGGAAACTGATTTGCGATACCGGAGATCGCGTTGCGAATTATCGATCACATTGCGATTTAGTTGGTCATTTTGGCAAATAAAAAAAAATTGGTTAAAATCGTATATTATAAGACATTTTTTGTCACTGAGGTTATTTTCTCTTAATTTTACCATTGATTGTGGTCAAATAATTATAAAAAATAAAATATTTGTAATAACATATACTTATAATTTTTTATTAATTCGATCTTTAAAAATATAAAATAAATGATTGAAAATTATATTATATAGTTAATAATAATTTTTTTATTTTAAAAATCAATGATCAAATTAATTAAATTTATAAATTTAAAAACTGGAAAGATGATTCCATCTTTGTTGTTGTTGTTTGTTTTAAATAATTTTTAGGCCAGAAACTATCAATAAAATTGAATATAAGTTAAAATGATGATCAATATTTTTAAATAAAAATAATATAAAAATTAAATTTTTTAAAATATATAAAGTATAATTAATAATTTAAAATATATATAAAGTATAATTAATTAACTATTTTTTAAAAATGTTTGATTTTTCAGAAAAAGTAAAATAAATAGATTTTAAAATCCCAACAAACAAAGCCTCAAGTGACGTTTACGTTTTAAACTCCGCCGTAGCTTTCCTATTTCTAACGCCTTCCACTTCATTATTATTATAGGTTTAATTCAATAATAGATCCTCAAACTATGCATCTTTGTTCATATAAGCGTTTAATAATTAAATGTTTAAAGTTTCATTCAGTTTGTATTTTAAAGTTTATAAATTACGTTGGTTAAAAAATATATAAAATTTTGATAATTTTTTTAGATATTTAATAAAAATATATAATTTAAAATAATTATTTTTTCTAATAGAAAAATTTAAAAATAAAATAAAACATTAAATACTTAATATAACCAAAGCATTCAAACACAAAAAAATATAATTTTGACACTAATTTTTTTAAATAATAATAATAATTTTGTCTCTCTCTCTACCAAATTATTTTATTTATTTATTAAATTAAATTAAAAAAAATACTAGAAACAAAGGGGAGGAGAAACTGTTGTTCATTCCTTATTTTTTTCTCTTTCTTTGATTATCCATTTCAGACTTTCAGTTCCTCCAAAGCCCTAAATATTTTCTTTTCAAGAGTGTTTTTAGATAATTTTTATTTATTTTTAATTTCAAATAAGTAAACCCAATCTGCATTTTCACTTTATTTCCATTCTAGACTATTTTTTTTTGGTTCAAAAGGGTATCTATTATTAGGCATTCAAAAAAAGTTGTTTTTTTGGTTTTTAGCTTGTAAAGTTCTTAACTTTGTTGCTCCTTAGAAAGGAGAAAGAGAATAAATTTATAAAAGCAAATTCCCATTTTCATTTGATCATTTGGGTTTCTTTTTTCTGTCCTGCTTTTTATTTATTCTCTGTGGGGGAGTTTGGGGTTCTGATTCTATGGCTGCAGTTGCTGATAATCTAGGTGAGGCAGCAGTAGCTAATGGAAACAACAATTTGGTTGTTGAAACATCCAATTCAGAATCAAAGGAATTCAATGTTCAAAAACTTGTTGATATGTTCACAAAGTTGAATCCTTTGGCCAAAGAATTCTTCCCATCATATTATCATCAAAATCCCACCAAAACTGATGATTCTAATCAGGCCCCTGTTAACAAGCAGGGGAATGAGAATTACTCCAATAGAAGGGTATTTCCTCCTCCTTTTTACTCATCATTTACTCTCTCTTTTTTCAATTGCATTTTTCTTTTCTGTTTCTCTGGTTTTGACTGCCGAGTGTTTGATAGTTTTTAGTTATATAGTATTTGTTTTTTTGGTTGTTTTTTTCTTGTGTGAAAATGTTATTTTTATTGCATAGCTGAATTGGGGTTTTAGGATTTTCTTTGTTTTCTAATCCTAATGCATTCAAACCGGCAGTTTGGTTCTTGTGCCTTGAATGCTTCAATTCTGCATGTTAAACTAGTTTTTGATTGATTCTCCTTTGTATTGGTAAAATTGTTGGGGTTTGCTGGCATTAATGATTTTAAGGTTTCCAATTGGCCTAATTATTTGTCTAATTATTAATTTAATTGACTTGTTGGGACTTTGATGCCATTGGAGTTAGCTTTTCTCGATCTACTTGTCGTATATGGGATACCGTTATGCGAATATCGACACTTAACGAACTCGTATTTGTTCGTTTTTCTTTTCCTTTGTTAATTTTGGTAAATGGTGGTTGCTGTTCTTTTCAGAGGAGAAACAACTACAACCAGGGAAAAAGGAAGCTTAATGGTAAAGCTTTTCGAGCTGAAAGAGACGATAGCATTAAGCGAACGGTGTATGTTTCGGATATTGATCAGACTGTAAGTGCAAACAGTGGCATCTTTTAGTGATTTTTTCTTGTTTCATTGTGATCTCGAGAAGTCACTTGCGGAAATCATTTCTTTGTCCTAGATCACTGAAGAACAACTTGCTGGCTTATTTAGTAATTGCGGACAAGTAAGTTCAAAATGTTGACGTCAAAGCTTTTGTTTTAATTTCGGTCATTCCTGGTTAATGCTGCATTTTGATGTAGAGTAATTTACAATAATGTTTGAGCTATATCATTCCCATCTTTAGAGTTTTGTGTGTGCGTAATACATGCATGAGTACTCCAAGTTCGCCTTTTCTAGTCTCGTACTTCATTTAGAGCCCCCCATACTATGCCAAAAGAACTTTCATAATTTTCAGTGTTTAGTATCTTGTTTATCCTTGATAGGAAAAAAAAACGAACGTTGAGGCTTTGGCTGATACTACAGATTACTTTATATACGATATTTCTGAGGTTGTTTGGGAATTATTATTGAAGGTTGTTGATTGCCGAGTGTGTGGTGATCCACATTCAGTTCTTCGCTTTGCATTTGTGGAATTTGCAGATGAAGGTAGGCGGCTGATACGGAAAACTTCTCTCTCGTTAATATGTACATTGATTAACTTGTTGCATTCTTTATGAACTTTCTTTTAACAGAAGGTGCAAGAGCTGCTTTGAACCTAGGTGGTACGATGCTCGGGTTTTATCCAGTTAGGGTTTTGCCTTCAAAAACTGCCATCCTTCCTGTGAACCCTACATTTCTCCCAAGGGTATGGACGAATAACTTTCTGGCACTTAGTTGTTTCGGTTTTGCATAAGGCTTCATTTTACTCTATGCCATTTCGTCGTTACTGAATCTCTTGTAGTTTCTCTTTATATTTTACTTTCAAGTCTCACTCTTGATAATCATGCTCACTACAATTGCAGTCCGAAGATGAAAGGGAAATGTGTACCAGAACAGTTTATTGTACAAATATTGACAAGAAGGTAAACCCTTAATTGCTATCACCAATATTCTTGTCTTTTATCCCAAGTTACTCCAACTCTTCATTTTCTTGAGGCACCGGTGTCTGACCTATATCCGGAAATGGGTGTGGATATATGACCCTTGAAGGTTCCTCAAATAGTCAAATATATGGTAAAAGAACATACCTCTGTCCCAAAATCACTCTCGGGTCTAAGTTTTCAGCTTTATCATTGCAGCAATTGATGTAACTTAGTTGATCTAATCCTCACAAGAATTTTCTCTTTGACGGAAGGTTTCTCAAGCTGAAGTGAAGAATTTCTTTGAATCCACATGCGGTGAGGTTAGTACAATATCAATATCACGATTCACACATGTCTTTTTTTTCTAACTGTTTTCAGAAAGAAGGTCCACACGATTTGCTTTTAATTCGCAGGTCATTTGCTTGAGGCTTTTAGGGGACAATGTGCATTCAACTCGTATTGCTTTTGTTGAATTTGTCATGGTAAGTTCAGGTTTTCTGGATTGATGTTGAAAAATATTCGGTTCATAATACATATTTTCAGATTATATTTACGATTCTTTGAAAACTATGTTTCTGGCCCGGGTTCTAATTAGTATATTTCTTTTCTTTTCATGTTATTGAACATTATTTGTAAAGTCATCCATGTCTCTTTGCAAACTATTACTGCAAATTTAGCCCCTCAAAAATTTCCATGTGTGCTTTAAGTTCGGTGATATGTTTGACTAAAATCAAGAGACTCGATTTTAGCAAGTATTTTGTGTGAGATTATTGTGCTTTGCCTATGAAATTTTATCCGCAGTTAGCATCATTAGAGAGTGCTTGATGCCTTGTTCACATAATCGAAACTATAGGTACCGGTTACACATTGGGAATATTAGCTTAGTTTCATATCCTTTTAGAATCTTGATGCAACCATTGCTTACTGGAAATAATATTCGATTTTAGAGTACGGGAAGTCAGTTGGATGGGATATGAAGTTTTCTAGAGAATTCGGAATGCCGAATTTAACAGAAGTTTCTTATTCCAAAACTTTTAATTAATGTATTTTCACCGTTCCTCTTCTGTTGGTTTGCCTCCATGGGAAAGCCAGCCTGATATACTTGTAAGCGAGTTTGCAGCCATAATGGCAGATGGTTCATACCGAGGTCATATTCATTGAAATTTAGCCTTCCATGTCTAATCTCCACCCAACTTCTTACGTATGTAATTGTGTGACACTCGATAATAGGTTTGTTCAATTAACCTGAAATTTCTTTGATTTTTTACAGATCAGCTAAATTCAGGAAAAGTTTCTTATCTTCCTTAATTTTCTTTTCATTTTATACTCTTTATTCATTTATGGAATCCTACAAGATCAGGTTGCATGATCAGGCTGTTTGTTTGTTTATCTCTGAGTTCTTTTCCGACACTACGGTGTTCTTTTACATTGACTCGGTTGTACATGTGCTTTTACTTGTATGACGATAGAAAAGAATTTATGGTATTGATGAATTGATAAAATGAATAGTATGATACCTTTACTAGTTTCCGATATCATAGTTTCTCCAGCACGATGCTTCGTGCCTTGACTCGGCTCCTGTTTTTGGACAGGCGGAAAGTGCCATTGTTGCACTGAATTGTAGTGGGATGGTGCTAGGAACTCAGCCGATTAGGTGCGAACCCAAATTTTCTCTCTAAATTCCGTGCCTGTCAAATTTGTCATTGCTTAAGCTAATTACGTTTTCATTCGTAACTTTCAGGGTAAGTCCTTCAAAAACACCTGTGAGGCCACGAGTTACCCGACCAACATCGCGTTAGCTGATCGACCTAGCCTTTTAGGATCAATGGATGGAATTGGGTGGCTTCCCAACGGCAAGAGAAACTTTGTTGTGTTGAAGGGATGGTAGAAACTTTCCTTTGTTTCGTTCTTTCCATCTTTCCGTCGCAACCGTTGCGTTTTGTTCTTCTTTTATCTTTGCTCGAAGATATCGGCACCGTTGTTCGGGTTCGGACTTGACCTTGAGATTTTTTTTTTTACCTTATTCCATCTCTTCGTTTTGACAATGTGAACTTGAGTTTCTTTGCTACTATTAATGATAGTTTTAAGCATTATCACTTGGTGGTAAATAGTTTCTTTAATCTTTTTATAATAGTTTTAAGCAGGTTCAAAATTCTTGACCAAATTTGGGTCTAATAGGCCCTTGGGCCGAAAACTCTTACCCAAATTTCTGACCTGAAACGGGCCGAAAATTCTTACCCGAAATTTCATCGTTATTGTTTTTTTCTCACACGTTATTTCATCCAAAATGATGATCGAAAAGGTCACGTGACATGTTACAGAATGTCACGTGATAAAACATAAAAAAAAATTATTAAAAAACTAAATCAATTTTGAAAATAAATAAGAATTATACATTCTTTATCTACTACACAACCTAATTTGCATGGTGACTTCAATGATTTTATTTTTATTAACGGGAGATTATAATTTTTAAAGTCAATTGCGAGTTTCGAACTCATATAAAGTTGGATAATGAGTATTTTTTATCACTCAACCAATTAATAGATCTTAATTGTTACATATTTATTTTTAAAGAGTGATATGATTGAAGATAACAAATTTATTTAATATTTGATTCGGATTATTTAAACATATTATTAAGGCATAATCCTCAACTCTACATAAATTATTTTAAAGTAAACTATGCAAATAATTATTATATTAAACAAGTATTATGCCGTTAACTGTCATTATATCTCCTTGAACAATAAATAATATTTTTTATTAAATTTTTAATAAAATACATAGATGAGTGTATTTTTAAATAATATATAATGAATTATTAAATCGATTCGATCTGATTCGAGTTTAACCTTTTTCAAACGGTGGCCCAGCCCAGCGACTCCTCTGCTTAAAAAGGAAAATTGCCCACGTGGTTGCCTATTTATCCACCTTGACCTGCAGTCAAAATGTTTACTTCAAAACACCAATTATTCCCTTCCATTATTTAACAATACAACCATTAAAATATTTCATATTTATGTTCTTTCATTACACAAATCCAACGGCTGAACACAAGTCATTGTGATTTCATCACCAACTTCATGTGCCACGTGTCCAAAGTTACATTTCTTGGGGTACGAGCAGACCAGACATTGAAAAAGTTTGCAAAAATCTTAAAAAAGTGGTAAGGGATAAGAGAGAAAGAGACAAAAGCTCTTGTCTTTAGTCTCTTACCATTTGAAGACTCAAAGAATTTTAATTTTGATTTTCTCAAGCAAATTAAAAAGGAGGAGGAAGAAGTAGTAGCTTAGAACAAGTAAGAAAATCACTGTTTCTGGATTTTTCTTATAAGATTTCTGCTTCAGCTTGCATAAGAGACCAACAGGTATGAAAGATTCAAGCTTTATCGAAACTTTACCATCATTTTCATTTAAAGTTGTAGCGTTTATTTAGCTTTCTGGGTTTTTGAATCTGAGATTGTTGAAATGCTTGGTTTCATTTGAGTTTGCTATTCTGTTGAAGAGAAGTTTTTTTTTGTCCTTTGATGCTGGATTTAATTTGTGTGTTTTGTTGGCCATTTTGGGTATATACTTTAGATTTGTTAATGGATATATTCCAATGGGAAGATTTTAGTCCTGTTCTCTTGGGATTTTATTCTTTAAAATAATATTTTAACTTGTGTGCTTGATTCAAGTAACTCTAGCTGAAATTCTGGTGCTTTGGAGGATTATATATATATAACTTGATGTGCTAGATTTGGGTAACTATACTTGAAATAATTGGTGCATTAGAGAAGGAATCAAATAGTGACTGTAAACATATTAAGTGATCATTTTGTGTAGAGAAGGAACTTTATAAATCCATAGAAATAAGATTTATGAAAGAGGGAGATGAGTATGACTTATCTTCATATGATTGTAGACTCATGACCAATAGAATAAAGTTGGCTGAAGCATGCTTTGGTTTTTATTGTTGAGTACATGTTGCCATGTTGGTTGTGGAGCAATTCTGCGAACCTGTATGTGCGAGACTATTGCATCAGTGTTAAGTTTGATTAAAATCCCTCTTTGGTGTCGTGTAGGACTGAAATCTGATTGTCATTGTTTTGCATTCTTATCTTTGTTGTTAACTTGAACCGGAAATTTGGTCAAATTTTCCTGCTAATTTTCTTTTGAAATCAATTTATTACCTTTCTTTGGTAGGTTTATATAAGAAGTATGAAAAAGTTTTCCCTGACTTGAATCATCCTCTACGGACCAATCTTCTCCCCCACCCTACATTTGGGTCTGACTGCACTGTGAAAAGGAGCTGTTTGATGCATGCTGGAATTCAAATCCATATTTTTCATCTTGAGAACTTGTTGCTGCGAGATGTGAGGCTTAGACCTGAACTTGCTTTGCTGATATTAAGATCAGGTAATTTCTATCTCCGAGTTTTGTCATATAAAGTTCTTCATCTGAATTTAGCCATGGACTTTGGTTAAGTTCTTCATTTTGAAAGCGTTTGCAAAGATTTTATGGCACTTTTTCTTTATGTTGCTCCAACTCTTCATTGTTCCTGAAATACTCATACTGTCATCTTTGTCTAAAGTATATACGGACATGGATACGGGGACGTGACTCTCCAAATACATAGAAAATCTTAGAAAAATCAAATGTACATTTGTCAAACGCATATTCATATCCTATATCCATCCACACCCCAGTCCGAGTAACATAGCTTTTTCTTATAACTCTGATTGAGGGTGCAAACTTTAATTTAGTAATCTTATGCTGTAACCTAATGACTTGAATTTTTGATAGGGTTAAGTGGCATTGCATGATTTTTTTTTTTTTGTAATTTAAGTTGCTGGCATGGATGTTTGTTTCGCTTGACTTATGTAGTATTTTACGAATACCTTCTGGATAGTGAATTTGGACCCATATTGGATATGAGAATGCTTGCGGAGACATGCTCGAGCCAAGGGAAGCTGATATACCTGCGTTGTTTCTGGTCTTGGTGGTGCTTCCTGTTGTTGCTTACTACTTACTCGGGAAATGGAGTGAGGCTTCAAAGAAACATGAACGGGTAAGTTTACTTGCTCAGCTTGCCGCTGAAGAAGCTCTTAGAGCCGAAACAATGGCCGCTGCCAGTGTTATTCCGCTTGTTCCTTCTTCAAAGAGAGCTGAAACAATGGCTGCTGCTGGTGTTATTCCACTTGTTACTTCTTCGAAAAGAGCTGAAACAATGGTAGTTTCCAGTGTTGTTCCGCTTGTTCCTTCTTTGAAGAGGGCCGAAACAATGGTCGCTCCCAGTGTTATTCCACTTGTTCCTTCTTCAAAGAACAAATTACATGTGTGTGCTTGGTGCTTCGGTCCTGCGACAACTCGCTGCTCTAGATGCAAGGCTGTCAAATATTGGTATATTCTATACCTTAACCGCCACAATGCACTTTCTTTATTTCCATACCACATTATTGTTTTATGTTCTTGAAATATGGAATTAAATGCTGAATAGCAGCATTTCGAAGTAAAATCCATGATTAAGGATGATAAAATATTCTTGTTTATTATCACTCTGAACAGTCGAACACATAGGTTTGCCTTGCCTTGCCTTGCCTTGTGGTTGCCTGTTGTAAAATGTACACTGAACAATGCATTATGGGTCGATTTATTTATTACTAATTCGATTGTTGAATTTTTTGGATGTTTGAGATTGTTAGGGTTGAACCCTGATCATCAGAACTAAAGTCTAGCACTCTACCAACTAACTGCATGATTGTTGAAACTTTTGCAAAAGTTTCTTGTTGGTTTCATTTCGTCCCCAATTCATTCTAACTTCCATAAACATTTTATTCCAGCTTTCTTCCGAGAATTTTTTTTGGTTTTCTTCTCTTCCATAACATTCTTTGTCCTTTTTGATTAATAATCTGGCCTATTATTAGAACTCCATAGATGGAGGATGGGAAGAGTTCCGGATCATGACATTGAAGTTTTAAGAAAACAAACATGTAATAATATATGCGACGAGATGCAATCGATCAACAAAGAACTGTTGAAGTCTTTGCCTCTCTGCTGCCCAGCTCCATGTCATAATGTATAAACCAAAATGTTTTCAGTAGAAGGACATATTTATAAATATAATGCATCCTTCATCTTCCCTGTTTCCCAAACTCTTATTTCATGTTTTTCTGAACTTTCGAACACATTATATGTTCTACTTGTTGGATTTTCTGCAAGTTCTCATCAAGTTGACCTCTTGCTTTTTCCATACATATATGTATCACCTTGACTTGCATTTCGTCCCTTTCGACATGATGTTTCTCTCTTTTAAACTAATGAGTTTTATGCAGTTCCGGGAGGTGCCAGATTATTCATTGGAGGCAAGTGCATAAGGAAGAATGCCTGCAGTTGGAGAGTGCAAGCTCAAGTGCATCTGCCTGTGTTGCCTCGTCTGAAGAATCTGCACTACTCGGTGACAACATGAATATGCAGTTTGGGTACGGTAATAGGCAGGCTATCATTGAACAAGCACCATTAGATCATATCAATCTTTGTCAGATAACCACTGTTGTATTTGTTAATAGGGATTGTTCTACTGTTAATACCTCTCAAGTCCTTCCACCAGATATAAAAAGTACAGACAGGAGAACTTATCGTAAATCCAACAGAGAAATGTTACGAAAAGAGGATGTAACTATGTTTGATTCTTGTGAGGAAACCACAAGGACTAGAGCTAGTAGATCGGCATCTAATAATATTTCTTCCGACGAGGCTTTTATAAGGCATAAGGTTCTTATCTTTAAATATGTTTACGTGGAACATGTTATCTTTTATTTAATCATGTAGTTTTATTATATATTGAACTATTGCTGCAGTCGAGAGCTAGTGGTTTTGTTGAAGTAGAAGAGGGTATAAAGCCGCAAAATGCCAATGGCTCGAACATGCATATTCGCGGGCAAAATGCAAGTACTGTCATGCATGAGAGTCATAATTGTCAAAGCCAACGTGGCAACAAGTCTGAATCAAAAAGCAATTATGAGTTTTCCGGTCCACCATATTCTGCAAAAAGTGGGACAAGTGTACATGGAGCTGAAAATGCCTTTTTCCGGAATTCGAAGAATTTAGTCAATGGGGAAAATGGTTTTGGTGGCGAATCAGTAGAATTAGACTGTTCTGGGATGATTGCAGCTAAGGAATGCATAAAAGCTAGAAGTTCATTGCATTCCTTAGAACCCAGAATCTCCGAATCAACTAAATTAGCAGTGAAAGTGTCTGGAGAACAATCATGTCCGGAAATGGGGAGGAAGGGACAAATACCAAATGAATTAAGTAAAATCTCAACACTTCTTTATAAATATTTAAGACCTTTCTTCATGTAGTTTCTCATATTTCATGATTTTTCATGCAGAAGTTTCTGGAACAACAGGTGCTATGCCGGCACCAGGGATCAGTGGGGTGGCTAGCATCAGAATTATGGAGATGATGGGTTTAAAGAAGTCATCAAAACTTGTCAAAAACAATTTTTCTGCACTTTGTGGTGAGAGACGCAAGAAAATAAAGGTCACTTTTGTACTCTCTTCATGTTTATGATTGATATGTATTACATCCCCTTATGTTAAATTATTTCATTTGGCTCTTTAATTGTGAGTTGAAAACTCTGACCATGATCTGTTTTTCTATTGTCTCAGATGCTGTTTCCTTATGAAGAATTCATAAATTTCTTCCAATGTGAAGTCTTTGACTTATCACCGAGGGGACTTCTAAATTGTGGGAACAGGTATCACTGTTGCTACTTTACAGTTCTATTTTCCACCATACTTGTGATTTTACTTGGACTATGGTCTTAATTTTCTTGAAGTATTGCGTCTAACTCATATTTGGACATGATTTTGAGTACGTGGATATGAGCTTCGTAGGTCTCTCTAATACATGTAGAAACTTAGGGAAAACTTGAAGATAGTTGTGTCAGACTATTACTCGTGTCTTGCACTCAGACCCGAGTCCAAGAAAAATGGTGTAGCAGTATATGTTCCTATAAACTAAAGAAAGAAATTCTGAAAATTGACTTATAGTTTAATTATGTTATACTCATGCCTGATTGCTAAATTGCAAAGTCACAATGTAGTTCATTAAATAAACTTTGTGATTCAATAATTCAACTTGTGCCGGGTATGCGTTTTTGGAGTTTCCTTAGATGGATGACTTGTTCTCAAGCATATAAAAGAAAGTCATAGGAGATTATGTTTTACTGACTGATTATTGTTTTTATTTTGCAGTTGCTATGCCAATGCGGTTCTGCAGTGTTTGACCTGCACAAAGCCTCTCAGCATCTATTTGCTGCGTCGATCACATTCAAGAGCCTGTACATGTTTTTTTATGTTCACTTGTTTTGTCTGTTATTTGTACATGGGAATAATGTTACTGTTTGACCACGTACATACATTAACTTTTTAATTCATTGTAGGTTACGGGAAAGTTTGGTGTCTTATGTGTGAGCTCGAACAACATGTGATGCTGTTAAGAGAGAGGGGAGGACCTTTATCATCCAGTAGGATCCTTTCTTACATACGAAGTATTAATTGCCAGATGGGCGATGGAAGTCAGGAAGACGCACACGAGTTCTTGAGGTCTACAGGATTCACTTGGCGATGTCCCTTTGAACCCTTCTTTTCCCCTCATTTATGAGTCTATATTTTTCAGTTTTGCTTTAAGCATTTATGTGTTTACTGTTTCATCCCCTTGCATCTCTGAAACTTCAATTTTCTGTCCTTTCAGACTCCTAGTTGCCTCAATGCAATCAATATGCTTGGAGAGATTAGGTGGGGAACACAAGGTAGACCCGAGGTTGCAAGAGACGACGTTTATACAACATACTTTTGGAGGGAGACTTCGATCAAAGGTGTTTATAGCTATTTTACTTTGTTTTCCTTTACCTCCCGTTATTGCACGATATGTATGACCAGTCTCCATGTAATCAGGTTAAGTGTCTAAGATGTTTTCACGAGTCAGAAAGATACGAAAACATTATGGATCTCACGTTAGAGATATTTGGTTGGGTCGAATCACTGGAAGATGCACTAACTCAGTTTACGAGACCTGAAGACTTGGATGGCGAAAACATGTACCGATGTGGAAGGTGCAAAAACCTTGTTTTATTGTGTTATCATATTGTCCTTTATTAGTCTTATCAACTAACTTGATCTCAACCTTGTTGATTTATTGGTTTCGCAAAATTATATGTTTAAAGGTGTGCCGGTTATGTTCGAGCTCAGAAGCAGTTGTGCATACACGAGGCTCCTAATATACTGACAATTGTCTTAAAGCGGTTTCAGGTATCACTCCACTCTACACTGTACTGTGCTCTGTAGATATCATGTTATAAATGCTATTTATTCCAATGTTTTTGTCCAACATGGGTATGGGAATATGATCCTCCAAGGACACTCTACAAATACATAAAGAAAAAACTTATATGAAAAATTAACATACCAGTGTCTGACACAAACTCGCACTTGATGCTCACAACAGAGTCCGATTAACATAGAAACAAGCTGTTTTGGACCTTTTGGTCATAAACGATTATGTTTGAGTTTTGGTCTAGTGGTTTATGATCGACTTCATTATTTATTTAGGGACTTACTGACCTTAAGCAACATATGTATAGTGGACAATTTGTGCTCAACATGCTTGAGCCCAAAATTGGTTAGCTTCTCCGTAGGTGCTTGTGAACTAATTTGTGGACGTTTCAGAGAAGAAAAATGGGGATGATCGACTTTTATATCTACCTATCCGTCATTGTTCCTGTCTGTGTATCTGTTGGCTTGTTCATTGTTTGACTTGATTATTTCTTGATGCGTCTGTTGCCTAATCAGGAGGGAAAATATGGGAAAATAAACAAGTGTATCACTTTCTCCGACATGCTGGATATGGTTCCTTTTATGACTGGAACAGGTGATGTCCCTCCACTTTATATGCTTTACGCAGTCGTGGTGCATTTAGATACACTGAATGCATCTTTTTCTGGACATTACGTGACATACGTAAAAGATTTGCGAGGCAACTGGTTCAGGATAGATGATACCGAGGTAAATCTTATCTCCTCCTTAGGTTTGGTGAAAGGTGATTGATTATATAAATGAGTATAACTAGTGAATGGTTATTCAAAATGCAGCTTTAATTCTGTAATTCCATAGTCCCAGAACATTTAATGTTGATGAACTGTTTTTCCATATGTTTTGGGTCAAGTTTTTGTCATTTTATTGTTTTCTTTCTCCTGTTATCGGAAGTACTCTCGTCATTCATGCTTGTATATTTCATGAGTTCTGATAGCCAATGTATAGAATCAAATTACTTCTTTTTTCCCCTAATACGAATTTGTTTTAAGTTCTAACTGTTTAGTCCGGATTCTCTCTTGTTGCAAATGGTATTGAAATGTGGTTTTGTATTTGCCCTTTCACTTACAGGTGCATCCAGTCTCAATGAACCGGGTGATGTCCGAGGGGGCATACATCTTATTTTACATGCGGTAGACACCTATCTTCCTTTTCGTGTTCTCTCCCTTAATTTTATTCCCGTTTCCATTTCTCGATCTTCTACCCCATTTAACCAGCTAGATTTTGTCGAAATTGCCTTACAATGTTACTTCTTAGCAATCTCTCACGACTTAGATAGGATCAATCGTTTATATTTCGCCTAGGAGATAACGTATTAGGACTAGTTTGTTGTGGCATTAAATGCTGAAACTCTAGTTGATTTTGTTGCTGTAATACATTTGTGGATGTTTCTTTGTTGTGTTGAATGTTACTTTTGGCTTCCGTATTGACGCTGTCTTCAATCTCTGAGATTATATACTTTTCCCGAAGGTCATGCCCTCGTCCACAAAGAGAATTAACCGAAAAGAGCATACGGAAGCAAGGTCCTGCCAGGCAGAACTCATCAGAAACGGAGAGGCCTTCACGAGCAGCACAAAGTAAATCCAGCACCCACTCTGTTGTCCCCAAGCATGTCCCAGATTTAAGGCCTGAAATTGCTACCCGTTGTTTCAACCGCAACGGTAACGACTCTCTTTGGCAGAGCACAAATGGTGACATTGCCGAACCTATCAACACTGAGTTCTCTGATGCTACATCAAGTGATTGGTCACTTTTCACGAGCTCAGACGAGGCCTCCTTCACGACTGAGAGTGCTAGAGACTCTTTCAGTACAGTGGACTATTCCGACGCGAGCAATGGAGATCCTTTCTCGATCTTCAATAACTTGCCAGCTCCAGAATCCTCTTACAGTACGGTTTCGTGTAGGTTTTCGACTAGTAGACCCCATACTCGCTTTGCGTTAGAGGATACGGGTTATGTTTTCGATCCGCACTCATCCACGCAACCTGAGAATAGACTTCAAGAGCACCTGGATCATGTCGGCGATTCTTTGTCCGAATTATCTATAGCTAGGGACAATGACTTGTATGTAAAATACGGGAATAACCCGAAAAATAGTCATGATAGAACTGCCCGACCATAGTTTTCCATTTTTGTTTTCAATGCCTTGTTGATTAAGGCATTTAGATCATATTAAAAGATGCAAGGAAAATTTCTTATTTTCTGAAGAAGTTTTCGTTTCCCTTTTTATTGTATTGTGCAAGTGTTATTTCTTCTACGTTACTCTGCTCTCTGGCTAGATTGCTATTTTTACTATTTTAAATGATTTTTATTATTATTCGGAATTTTAATATAAAATAATAATAAAAAATTTGATGTCAGCATTATAAAAAAATAAAATAATTTTCTTTGACAAGATAGAAGTCGTTAGTTTTATTAAAATTAAAAAAATATCCAAATTATAATAAAAGCTTACAATTACAATCGTAAACTAAAATATATAACGAGAATAATTTTCTATAACCATTAATACAAAAAAATTAACCACTTAAGATCACAAGGATCATATAAGAAAAATGTGAGAAACCTAAACAAATAAACTATTAACGAATTCAAATCATATTCCAAATTCAATCCGATGGTCTAAAACATGAAAGATCATCATATAACAAATGAGCCATAAAGTTAAACGTGTCATAAATATAGAGAAAAACATTTCATTAAAACAGAGTTATTAAAAATTTAAAAAATGAAAATATATAAAGATACAACTTAATAAAATAAAGAAAAATAATAAGCATCTGCGGTCGACGATCAACACTAAGATTGATATCATCGTCGATTATAAAAATGAAAAGAAAAAAAACTAAACGAAAAAAAAATATGGGACTGAAAAATTCCAATAAAAAAATATAAAATAATTAACGTCCGTATTGAGAAAATAACAAAATAAATAATGTCAGCATAATGACTCAATCATTTATTTTTATGACTCAATCATTTATTTTTCTGCCAGATTTTTGTTAAATCTATAAGAATTAAAATCATAAAAAACAAAATATAATATTGATTTAAATAAAAATAAAAATTTAATATTTTTTTGAAATCGTAAAATCTAAAATTAATTTCTTTTAATAATTGATTTTATTTTGGTTATTGTACACGGTGGACTTGAGCTTGGCCTATATATGATGCATGATAAAGATCACGTAATTAAAAAAATATGCAATGAGCCCATGAGAACGTGCCTTTTTTGTTCTCGCCTTTTTTTTTATTTTAAATAAATTAATTAATTAAGAAAAAGTAGTCAAAAGCTTCTTTTTTTTAATTCCATATAAAGCTGTTTGACCTTTAAATTCACTTCTTATTTCACTTAAGCGTTCTGCATATTCCGTAGCTCCATTGCTATATTCCACCGTTTTATTCAAATATCATACAATATTACTATAAATTTAATGAATATAAAAATAAATATTATATTAGAATCTTTGATCTAATCTAAAAAACTCGTGGTGCAGTCCTCTTGGTGGAATAAATAAACTGAAAAGAAAAAAAAACGAGAATATGTGGTGGGTACAGAAGCTCTCGAGTCGAAGTACGACATGAAATCTCGCGATATGAAACTTAATGTGTTCTAATTTCTTTTCTTAATGTATAATCAAAACTTTAATTAAAATATTAGTTTTAAGATTGCCCAATAAAATTATAATAAGTGAATTTGCCTAAAAATATTTTGATGATTTAAAATACGAGTAGATTAACAAGATAATTAATATTGATATACAATCAAATTGTACTGAAGATATTATATGATAAAATACGTTGCAAGAATGATGTTATCTCGATATTTGATGTGCATGTTGCTTACACTTTTGGTGTCAACATTGTTAGGGAAAATCATAGAAAATTACGATGATAGTTTTGTAAGAATATAGGAGTCATAAATGCTCTACAAACTGAGTCTAGGGTTTATATGAATTTGCAAATTGCATGAGCCTATGATTTTAGATATATGCAGGTTCAAATTGATAATATTTAAGTAGTTCTCTTTAGTTGGTTCGAGTAATATTCAGGTTATAATAAAGATGTTGGATGACGAATATAATAAATTCGAATTAGGTACTGCAAGGACTTATTATAGGATCTAACCTTTTAATTTATTTTTTTCCGTCCACAACTTCTTCAATATTTGAAGCATTAACCTTAAGTAAGATCTAATGCCTGAGAGTTCAATGATTTGACCCCTCTCGCTGTTATCTTCTATAGTTTGCTTTTTCTTTTTCCAATGAATTAAGAAAGCCAGCCATAGACATCACACTCTCAGAAAAAGACTAGTGCTTCTTCCCTGTATCATTCTGTATAAAAAACACTAAAGATTCAAAAAAGCAAAAGCAGAAACAAAAAAAAGCTCAAACAATCAAATATTCACAAATCATCTTTCCATTTTCCCACCAAAAAAGCCAAGACCCAAAGCAGAAAACACACCCCGTTAAGCAAACGTTAAAGTAAAACCATTTTCCATTACCCTCCTCAATAAGCTTCCCCTTTTCGCTGCTACTGCAAAAATGTCGAATGAGATTGTTGCTGTTGATCCCATTGAAGAACCCAGACTGGACAAAAGACCAGTGGTTTACTATGAAGATGAAGGTGAAGGGAGTAAGATAAGGTCACTTAGGGTGAAAGTAGTAGTAGCAGTGGCGGGTATGTTCCAGAAGTTTTTAACAGTGAAAGCTTGCCTTCTAATTTGGCTTCTGAAATCCAAAGGTTTCTTAGAGTTGCTAACATGTTGGAATGGAAAGCCCCTCGTGTGGCTTAACTTTCCAAGTCTTTTCTATTCTTTTTTCACTGGATTCGGTTGATTCAGTTTCCTAGATATCTAAGTAGTAGTGTTATGATTGATAGAAGAAGCGTAAACAAGCCGAGTCAAAAATATTATTAAACTTGACTCAAACTCGAAAACCTTTATAATAAACTCAATTCAAACTAACGAATTAAAAATTATCAAATTCGACTCAAAATATAATATAAAAACTACTCAAATTCAAAAACTATCGAATTCTAAAAAATTTTAAAAGCTCAATTGAAACTCGATCCAAGCTCAATTGAAACTCGATCCAAACTCAATTTTAAACTCAATCCAAGCTCAATTTTAAATTCAATAAATCTTAGCCAAACAGGCCAAGAAGGATATGTTTTGAACTGCACAAACCCGCTTGTTTTATAGGTAGCTTGTCCTGTCATCTTATAGTATCTGAACGATGTGGGATATTGTTGAGACTTGAGAGCACTACTTGTTCGAGAACTTCAGAGCCTTCATCTTCATCCTCAAACTTAAACACAAAAAACGTATGCCCATTGTTCAAATCCCGATCAAACAACCAGTGTCCAGTTATACACGTCCCACGAGATTTGAATCGAGACCCCATCGACTTGAATCTTCTCGTTGCCTCTAAATTTCCATTTCAGCAGTTTCCCTCATATATGCACATTTAGGCTGGTGTCGTGTGTCTTTTTACAACAAATATCTACATTGTTTTACACACAAAAGATTCAAGGACAAAGCATCGATGGCTTTGTTTTGCCAGAATGGTACTAGGCTCGATGCTTTTAGCAGCTGCATCAACATCCCATCTTGCTATCTCCATCTCCTTCATCATCAACCTCACGAAACTACGAACAGATTTCATCGTGAAGTGCAGAACTTGCACGAAATCACTTGGATTCAACGTTGTGATCTTGATGTTATCGAACATTGAGAGAAGCCCACTTTGGTTTAGTTTCTTCTCCATGGACTTGTTTAAAAAGGTGCAATCTTTAAGCTGTTTATGGTGTAAAGCAATGTCTACAACTTTTCTTTCGATATCAGATTCAAGCTTCTTGATTCTGATCTCATAAGTGCGCATCAAGCTTTGTTGTTCTTGGATCTCGGTTAGCATCAAAGTGACTTGAGGTGAAACATCAAGCTCCTTCTTTAAAAACTTGTGCTTCAGCTCCGAAAGAATTTTGAGTTGTTCCACGACGACTTCATTGGCCGCTTGAATGGCGTTGTTGTTGTAAGGGTGTTGAGCCAGTTGTAGCTCGGCGTAAGCAGCTTTGATGGAAGTGACACCGGCGAAAACCATGGCCACCAGAGCTTCCAAGGCAGCAGCTCTTCGGTTTTAAGCCTAAAATGGTGAATCAAGGAGTTGCATTAACATTACCATGTTTTCTTTGGGACTTCAAAAATGTATATCTTGTTGAATCCTAATCCTTTTTTCTCTTTAATTATGATCTATAAGATGGTAAGTACAAGGGCTGGATTAAAATATTGGGTAAATTACTTGTTTGGTCATACACTTGTTATTTAGTGTATCAAAAAAAAATACACTTGTTATTTAATTTTGTCATCTAATTATTATCAGTCACTGGTGGAGCTGAAGAATCTCACTCGATTGCTTCTTTTTCATCTAGTTTCTCCCTCACCAAAAAAACCCCCTTTTATTATCCACTCAAAATTAATCAAAAAAGCCCCTATTGGTTTTAGGATCTGTTATATTTGTAATTTTTTCATTTCGTTATTAATCAAGGTTTATGTTTTTATGATTCGGGTTGTTAATTTATTTTTATTTTATGTGTTGATCACCGTTTGTTTTGATAATAGACCTATTGATTGATTTGACCAAGTGTGATTTATTAGTTTATTTACATATGAACCATTGTTAATTTCATTAATTTCATTTTGCATAATTTGTATGTTACCTTCATGTGCATAACTTAACCCATATCACATAATCGGAGTAAGAGTTTATGGTTTAGGATTTAAGGTTTATGGTTTATAGTTTGGGGGTTGGGGTTTATAGTTTAGAGTTTAAGTTTTAGGTTTAGGGTGTAATCTAACATGTACTTAATTAAATGGGCTTTTATTTTTCTTTTAGTAATATACAATGTAACAATTGGACTTGGGTTGCATAATTTAAAAAAAAATTAAAATTTGAGGGTAGTTGTATTATAGATTATTTTATATATTTTTAAAATTTTATAATTATCAATAATGTATTTTTAATAAATTTTTTATAATGTATTTTTTAAAAAATCTAAAATTATAATATAACATTTTTTCAAGCTGCTCACGAGCTTTTCGAGTCGAATATCGAGTAGCTCGTTTCGGCTCTTTAAGAA